TCCATGAATCACTTGCCTGCGGGTTTGGGCAGGGTCGGGGGTGGGACAGCTGGATTAGCTGGAGCAACAGGGTTCAGCTTCTCCACTGACTCTGCCCTGTAGCAGATAAACAGTCAAACAAAGAACAATGATTCAAACTTAAAGCCATATATTGTATCAAATAGATATATCAAAAACATATATCGTAAAAAAACTGCTAAAATAAAAACATAAAGCAGAGTTGTATTAAAGGGTTAGTTCACCCAAAAATAAAAATTAGCCCATAAATTACTCACCCTCAAGGCATCCTAGGTGTATATGACTTTCTTCTTTCAGACGAATCCAGTCAGAGTTAAATTTAAAATTGTCTTTGCTCTTTCAAGCTGTTTAATGGCACTCAGCGGGTGTTGCCAGTGCTTCAGTCCAAATGAAATGAAATAAAAATCACCCATCCATAAAAAAAAATTCATAATAAAAAAAGTCTCACACGGCTCTGGGGGATGAACAAAGGCCTCCTGTAGCGAATCGATGCATTTTAGTAATAAAAATATCCATATTCAAAACATAATTACTTCAATCTAACTTGCGCCAACAGTTGTACATGGAAGCAGCTCCGGGCAGATGATGTATGAGGTCAGCGTTGCGCATGCGCCGGTGAGTCTTGTGAAAACCAACGTTTGTTAACAGGAGCAAAGGAAGCAAAGTTTCCTTACTTTAGCAAAGGAAAACCAGTCTCCTCTTGGCTTATATCGAAATCTTCTGACATTCTTCTTTACAAATCCTTGTTTTGTACTTCTAATTAGTGACTGTTGTTTTGTTTTGACCTCTCCCTTGCGCTTCCACGTTCGTCACTTCTGAGCGTCGCATGCACAACGCCGACCTCATACGTCATCCGCCCAGAACTGCTTCAGTTTACAACAGTGAGCGCAAAATAGATTAAATTGATTATTACGTTTTAAATATGGTTATTTTTCTTACAAAAACTCATCAATTCGCTACAGGAGGCCTTTGTTCACCCCTTGGAGCCGTGTGAGACTTTTTTTTTAAATGGATGGCCACTTTTTATTTAACTTCTTTTGGACTTATGCACTGCAACACCCGCTGAGTGCCATTAAACAGTTTGAAAGATCAAAGACAATTTTTAATAGAACACCGACTGGATTCGTCTGAAAGAAGTCATATACACCTAGGATGCCTTGAGGGCGAGTAATTTATGGGCCAATTTTCATTTTTGGGTGAACTAACCCTTTAACTCACATGTGCTCAGGGTGTGCTATCGATGAGATCACGTCAGCAGTGCGACTCATTTTTGAAGCAAAGTTTTGCCTGAATGGTGATTAGATTCACTGCTTTGGATCTCTGCATTTAGAATGAAACTGAGAATGCACATATAGAATGACGCGTTAGGTGTATGATAAGAGTAAACAGTAATAGCATGTGCAGTGGCAGCAGCCTCCCCCGGGTCCTAATGCCCGTTCGGTAAAGTGTTGTAATTCCATAGAGGGCGCTGTTGGCCTACTTTCAATAAAATGAAAACAAAATACACAAATAACATTTAGACTGTGTTTCTGATTAAATAAAGCAGTAATTGATGTCATAAAATCATGAGTATGTTTTGAATTAAAGGTCAGAAGCTATAGCTTACATGAATAAAAAAAATCACAAACATGACACTTG